CATATGATGCGTCTTTGAACACCTTCTACTCTTATCTTGTCTGTGGTCTTCATGTTAGAGAAGATAAAAGAGCAGTATTCAAAGTGAAGGTCGTACACATATTTTGTAGAGGGTAAGCTTGGCCTCAGCTGTGAAGAAATTTTCGTTATAAAATCAATCAGCCGTTTAGATTTGGAAATAATAGAGGAGGCATCTTCTTCAAAGTTTAGGCCTCCTGTGTAATTAATTCCTAGATCGTGTACTGATTTGAATGTCTGGATTCTACTGTTATTTAAGTAAAGTTGCAGTTCATAGGGATGCTTTCCAAAGTGCATGATCCTGCACTTGTTGAGGTTAAATGGTAATTGCCATTTTTCACTTCATATAGTTAAGTTATTGAGGTCCTTTTGGATCTGGGATACTGTTATATCCGAGTGGAGATTAAATTACAGGTAACTTCCGAGGACTATTCATGGACTAATATTCTATAAATATTCTTATTGTATAACTACTCAACAATTACATTATGTATATTTATATCCCTCTTATGACAAGCTTTATTTTGGCCTATAATTTATCATTGTACCATTTACGGTTCTTAGGTTATGTTCAGTTTATTAACTACTGCCTCCCACATTCACAGCCACTTTTTGGGCTTATTTGTGTACAAATATTATTTCCTATTTTATGGTACGTTGCGGTCTGTGTGATTGATATATAAACCAAGTATGCCTGAAATAAACGATCTGGTCTGATCTGCTCTGATTCGGAAGCTGGTATCTTGTTCTGGACTCAAGTGGAAGGGCTCGTAGGACATAGGACCAATAAGGACGCTAAACTGCCCACACCGGTTGAACGTCATTGGTTGGCCTAGTGTGAAGATTCGTATAAGTCGTATTCGGATTGGTAGATAAATCGTGTGATAGAAAAACCAGACATCACAAGGCCATAACAGATACACTTTCGCTTAGTGTCTCAGGCTTATAGCTGTATACTATTTTGAGATCATCAGCATATAAGTATGGTTTCCCGAATTCTATGGTGTTACATATATCGTTTATATACATAAGAAACAAAAGTGGACCTAATACGCTTCCCTGGATGACTCCATTGGTGATTGCTCTAGGTGACGAGAGACAGTCGTTGTACTTTACCATCTGTTTCTTCGTTCTGTTAAGAACGAAGCAAACCATGAGTACAGTAGGTTGTTTATTCCGAAGGACTTTAGTTTGAAGAGTAGCATTTTATGTGGGACCTTATCAAAGGCTTTCTTAAAGTCTAAGAATAGGACTGATATAAGGAGTCCGTCGTCTCGTTTCACAGTTATATCATTCAGGTAATCTACTAGGCATGTATCACATGGTCTGGACCTAAGAAATCCATGGTGGTAGGTCGAGATGAGATTATTGGTAAGTAGATGTTTGTAACGACCGAACAGCCAATATTCGGTTGGAACAACGGACTGACGAACCCAAAATTTATTCGATTAGACCAGACCAAGTTCCTCTGTATAGCTCACAACGCGTCTTTGAGATACTCGTATTATATTATATCAAAACACAAACTCTGTGCTCAATATAAACGGTTCTAATTAAGAAAACAGAACAAATTACATCAAAAATACAAAATACCTCAAACGGTACAGCCTGTGCTATACAGTCAGAAGTTTCTCTAACGCAAAGTAGCGCGATAAACAATGAAAGAGACAGTTAATACTAAAGGGTGTGATACCTGAGAACCAATACAAATATTCTCAATAAGATGGGATCAAATATCTACCTGCAGGGATTGCAGCAATTCTCCCAGGTAGACAGTCAGAAGGTTAACAGTCACAAACTGAACCACGCCGTGACCTTGAGCTTAGTCAAACACAACCTCACTGTCAATGGTCCGGCAACATGCAATAGAAAATTAGGTAACAAAAATAAGTCTTTAATCAAAATCACATAATAAAGGCTCAAACGGGGAAGACCGAAGAACAAAAGACATGGTTAAACGAGATCGAAACAAAGGTTGGAATACACAAAAGGGAGAAGGAACAAATAAATGAAAATACTGTTCAACGAAGAAGCTGCAGAGGGTTTTTCACTGTTCTCTTTCCGTTACAATGTTGGACGACCGCCTCCTTAATTTTTTTCCGTCACTCTAGATACCACTGAAATTATGTTTATTTGCTGGTAATTTTCAACATTTGCTTCTGGTCCTTTTTTAATTTTGGGAATGATGTGTGTAGTTCCCCAGACCGTAGGTTAACTTGCTGTAGAGAGTGATATCGTAAATAGTTTGAGAAGCAAAACACACATATCATCACCTCTACGTTTTAGCATGCTAGAAGGAAAACCATCTGGTCCATCACTGTAGCTGTGTTTTAATGTAGTAATTGCCTTAGAGATATTTTGTACGTTGAAGTCTACATTAGTAATTTTAATTTTAGAATTAGATCTGTTATTAGAACAGTACTAATAACGAAGTAGACCATAATGGACAGATATACAAGCATTCCTGATCGTAAGGGGAAGGTTGATATTATATGCCTTTACTTCTGAAAATCTTTTGTTAGGATCAGTCATACATTTTCCATCAATAAGCTCAAACTTTTAGGCAAATCACTATTAACGGACTATCTTGCGTCATCATCCTATCTCTATAATAAACATTTTAAAGTCATGGTTAACTTCACTTTCACAGACTACAGAATGTATTCGTAGAGTCCGACAAGATTTCTTATTTTCTTAATTCATATAAATAACCGTTCTCAGCAAGAATTGTTTGGTTTGTTAGTTTTCGTTGACGATGCGAAACCTTGGAAAAACGTTTTCAGCCGAGATGATAAGCCGGTACTTCAGAAGGATCTGACATGACTTGGAAGTTGGGTGGATAACAACTGACTCACTTTTAGCACTACAAGGATTAAAGTGGTCTATCTAAGACACATTGCAAACCACGCACAAACTTAGGTAGCTGTCGCTTAAAGTTATCTCAAGTTGAAAGAGATTTAGGGGTGTCGGTACCCTATGATCCGAAGTCTAACGCCAAATGGGACAAAAATGGACTCCAAAAAACCTTCAAATGGTGAAGCCACGGCTCATTTTTGGCCAGTTTGACAGAAGAACTTTCCACTTAATCTTCAAAGTCTTATTTCACCCCATTTAGACCTTTCAAATATCGTGTTTCCTCCCTCACTCCAAAGAATTTAGAATACTCTGGCACATATCCAACGGTGAGCTACGAACTTAGTTCGAGAACTGAAATTCAAACCTTATAAACAGCACTTCAAGCCATTGAACCTATACCCATCACAATATAGGCATCTCATTGGTAACCATTTAATAATCTACGACATTATGAACACTCCTGAACATCCCCTTAAATACCTACCTATGCTCACTTCTAACATAAATCTTAAAGGTAACACCCAGACACTGGAGACACATCAAAGCAGAACGGACTGAATGCACACCTCCTATTCCTTAAAAGTAGTCATATTCTATAGTTCACTGCTGGTTGGTCTCGTTCGTGTGACTTCCCATGAGTCCTCCAAACATAAAACGTGACATATTCTCAAGTACTCAGGAGAGCATTTCAATAAAATTTACCAATGTTTCCATTTTATAAAAAATATACCCAGATTCTTATCTGGGGTAATAGATGATCTACTGCTACTAGGTATGGAGGTCCGTCAAGTGAAAACTTCCTCTATTCCACCCAGAACCGTCCGAACCATTTAAATTTTATTTTTATTCACTTGTTTCACTAAAAGCCATTATTAAGAAATCTTAAAATACTAGATGACAAATTGTCCAAAGCAGAAATATGTTCAAAACGACAACTTTTCCATTATTTTTACTTAACACAGCTTTACTCGAGGTATCGCTACAGCACAATTCCTAGTATCTTCCCAGTACCTTAAACACTTCGAAGCGAAATGTTGCAGATTACAGCTACAACTTAGGAAACTTCTCTCTAGAAGTATCCCAAGTCGAAGAAGATTTAGGAGTCCTGATACCCTATGATTTGAGGTCTTACAATAACTGTGACAAAAATGCCTTTCGAGCAAACCTTGCACTGGTAGCATTGAAGGGCATTTTTGGCCAGTTTAACGGAAGAACTTTCAATATTTTCTTCAATAGTTTTATTCGTCTCCATTTAGAGTACGGAAACATAGTACTTCCTCCCTCACTCCAAAAGGATAAGGACACTCTGGAGCGTATCCAACAACGAGCCGCGAAATCAGTCCGGGGACTCAGATTCAAGCCTTACGAAGAACGCCTCCAATCACTCAACCTTTACCCACTAGAGTGTAGACGTCTTAGAGGTGACCTTCTAATGGCTTGCAGTATCCTTAACACTTCTTGACATCTCCTTAAACACCTACTTAAGCTTAGTCACAACACAAACCTAAGGGGTAAAACCCACAAACTGTAGACACAACTTCTACTCCTTAAGAGTTGTCAAATGATGGAATTCGCTGCCGACTGAGCTATTCCAAGCGACTTACCAGGAGTTATTTAAGAGGCAACTTGACCTATTCTTACGGACTAAGAATTACATCTTATTATAATTTACCAATTTATTTTATCCATCTATTATCGTTAATATACCTAGGTTTCTGCCTGGAGGTATTGATGATCAACTGCTACCAGACGTCGAAGACCGTTAAGCGAAAGCTTCTTTGTGGTCGAAAATGACCTAACAAATGTTATACTTTAGACCTGGTATTTGAAGCCCGCAAATATATTCAAGAACCGATCATTTGAGAGGACATTCGAAGAAAGTTCAAAAACCGAGATCAAACCGTTTACGTCTGGAGTTCCGTTTCTCGCACCGAGTAGTGAATTACTGGAATTCTCTACCGGAACACGTAATATCAGCACCGTCTGTTAATATATTCAAAACGAGATTGGACCTCCACAGTATTACAAACTGCAAGGATTAATATAGGTCCACAGACCTCCTATCCTTATTACTGAAGACTGAAGACTGATTCCATCCACAGCCATTTGAACGATTTGAACCATTTAGTATTATTGACCTACAAAATGGAGCGCCAAGTGTGATGTTTGTGCCTCAGATGGACCAGTCGGAGACTTCTGATATACATTTAAAGTTACTATTAATAGGCGATATGAGTAAGCAACATAACTGTTTCTGTAATTGCATCGCTTGTAATTTTTTTCATTCAAACTGCACCAATTTTTCACCTCAAACTGGTTGCAGCTTGATTTCTTGTCCTTACCGTAGCCTGTTTAATACAGGTTCGTAATATGGTGAACTGTAACTTTAATATAGGTACCGACAGTGGGTTCAAACTCTTCTATATCATCTAATTTAAATAGTGAGTTCATTAGCTGACATGTGTAAACTCATATTTCGTTTTACAAAACACAAGAGGATGGGTGGACTGCTCTATTTTTGGGAATCATGATCTCTCAGTCGATCTAAATTTCTTTTGAGTGCGTCAACAGATGCAGCTTCATTCACTTGTTGGGATAACGAGTTTCATTCGTTGGTAATTTGACAAAAAAGTTGATGGTCAGCTGACTAGTAATTCAGGTCAGACTATCATTTCTGGACGACTTTTAAACATTCCTAGAGTGACCTCATAAAAATAAGGTGCATACTTGATATATGTCAGGTGCGAATTTATCATCAAGTAATCTAAAAACTATGATCAGATCGGCTCTGGTTCTTCTATAAAATGATAAGCGAAATGAATTTAGTTTGACCAATCTCGTCATACGGCAGCTTTATTATTCCGAAAATCAACTTAGTTGCTGTTTATTGAACCTTTTCCAACAACTCACTGCATCTTTTGACATTGGCTGGCTGCCCGTATGCGATACTCGCGCTTAGGGAGAACAAAAACTGTACTAAAAGTTAGAAGAGTTTTATCAGCTACATAGCTAGGAACCCTACGTACTGACCAGATGCTTTTTAAATCTTTGGTAGTCAACGCACAGCCATGTGCAGTAGTCTTCAATTCTTGGCTAATAATCACTCCTAGACCAGTATGTGTCTGGATAACGGATAGTTCAGTGTTATTCACCGTGTATTTATCTGTACCTCTGTGAGCAATATGCATCATAATGCATTTGGAAGTATTTATTGGCCATTGTCAAATTCTAAACCACTCAAACAACTTCAAGTCATTATGAAGCTCTAAACTTTCTCCTTTATTTTTTGTCACTCTCCATGTCTTGATATCATCAGCAGATAGCAAAACCGGTGATGATAAGAGACTAGAAAGGTCATTTATACAAGAAGAATAACATTGGTTCGCAAAATCATACCCTTATTCACTCAGCTAAACACAGTTTTCCATCCAGACAAGTTAGAGCTGACCTGTGCCCTCTTTTGTCTCCTAACTAGGAAGTCGTTTGTCTTGTGGTACTCATTTACACCACTAGCTAATCTGTTGGGATTTTTGTCTGTTTCTTGAGCAGTTATTTTTTGTAACAATGCCTCAGTCGCTTTTCTTTTTCTAATTAGCATTCTTAAAATCATGCTGTTTTACCATTATATTTGTTGAGTATTTTAGTAATCATGTGATGGAATTTTACTCAACTAATAAGTGCATGATTTTTGGTTCTAGGGTGCATCATTTCGATCTGGTATTCGTTTAAGTGTAAATAAAGACAAGTTTGATTCATCATAGCGTTCGTTTTTTATTTCGAATAATTTCTACATCTGGATAATGTGCTTGTTTAATACGAAGACCTTAAATTAAGTCTCATAACGTAGTGAGTCATTGTTCTGAGTACCAGGTTCTGCAAATGTCTCATACATTTTACTTTCAGTAACTAGATATCATGTTTGCCCTACACAGTGTCACTGGAATTTCATCTTCAACAAGGCCAATTATTGTCACAAGATTTTGACATAAATATAATTAACTCATTCACCGGGTACTTGAGTATGAGCCTCACTTTGATTCTGATATCTAATGATACTACCTGGTCGCCCAAAGTGAAGTAGGTGGAGTATGGGTTTGAACCTGGAACCTTTTGGCTGAGATGTTCAGTCGTCAAAACCGCACAAATATCCTAAGTAACATGTGTCAATAGAAATGTGTGTATATGTTCAGGTCGAGACTTTTGATAGTCACAGCTTGTTTGAAATAAAAATTAGCGATTATAGTGAATTAATGAAATCAAGACGACAAAGATTATTTGCCGAATAAAGGATTGTTTTCGCTGGAGGTATGAGTTTTCATTAGTTGTCATATCTTTTCCTCGTCAATTTTATCAGACATCGAGTTGTCACTTTCTAGCTTTTTCTCACGATATATGCTGATAATTTTCCGAAACAATCTCAAAAACATCAATCCGGTTTCATAGTAATCTCAGTTGTGTAAACAATATACCCTTCATATACATCTCAGCTCATAATAATATCAATACTAGGGAAATTAATATTTTGCCATTAATAGAAAGCATTCTGATGGTAAATTTATTTCTAAGTTACATCGTCGCTGCATCTTTTTTATTGAAATTCTTAGTGCCAGTGTAGTATTAATTACTCCGGTTACTCCAAACGCAATGCGTTATTTGTTCTGCCTCTATCTCTTTTCCCTTCAGCATTCCGGGTTGGGGGTTGCCTCGTGATGCAGTCTCATGATTTCCTCAGTGTATCTTATCCACTTCCATCGTCTTTTCCTAATTTCCTCTTCAAGTAAAAGCTGATTTATTCTCTCCCACAGTAGGCTGTTGCTGATGGTATCCATCCAACGGACATCGATTATCTTGAATTCGTAGAGTTTGTCAGGATCTCGAAGGAAGGTTGTATTAAAGTTTTGTAGTGCTGTTTCTCCAGTTGTCCAGTGCTTCTTCAGATGTAGTTTCACCTTGGCCACAATCAACTGATGATCTGAAGTTATGTCAGTTCCTCCCGATGTTCTCACGTCTTCCATAGATCTGAATTTTTTATTAATACGAATATGATCTATCTGGTTCCCTGTAGAGTGATTCGGTGAAACTCATATAGTATCGTGTATGGGTTTGTGGGGTAATATGGCGACATCTATGAACATTTTTTTGAATGGCCGCGAATTCGCAAATCCTTCACCATTCTCGCTCGTTCCTCTCAGTCAGTCCATGTCGTCCCGTGATATTTTGATAACCAGTGCTGCCATCCGGACTTTGGCATCTAGGTCTCCCATGATGTTGACGGTCAAGTCATTTCCGGTCACCTCTCTACAATCGACTGCCACCTCTCATAAAACTGATTATCGTGTTCATTGCTATCATCTGTGGGTGCATGACAGTGGATAACATTGATTGTGATTCCCTCTTTCTTTGTTTAGAATAATGGTTTGATTACTCTGGATTCATGATATTCCAATGCTATAAGTGCTTCTCGTACTTCTATGGACAGCATCAGTGCAACTCCTTGTATGTACAAAGCATTTTCTTCTTTATGACCAGAGTACAACGGTATCTCTGTCGAAGCCTATCAATTGTATCCAGTTTGGGTCCAATGGGTCTCACTTATTTTCTACCATTACCAAGTTGTATCTCCTCATTTCCACAGCGATTCGACTGGTCCTCCCGGTCTCTCACATTGTCCAGACATTCCATTTTCCTGTGTTAATTATTAGTCTGAGTTTTAGAAGGGGTATTGTCTCGTGACTTTCGAAGAATATTAGCTTTCACCATGAGGCGACATGACTCTTCTAAATGAGTATTTTTGAACTGGTGCGGCAGAGATTAAATGACTTTTTCTGGTTAGCGTCTTTTTAGCAAGGTTGTTTTTTATCGGTTGGGGTTGCTGACCTCGTGCCCGGCATTCATAGTTTATCCGATCTTGGGACCTTCAATAACTTAAGAAGGGCTACAAGCAGAGTAGTATGTTGGTTTTATTCTGCGTGTACTCACCATATAAAAACATATATGGTGTTATTTCAGATTTCAGAAAGTAGCGCAACAAATCGGTCAATATTCAGTCTGTTTATGCAATTTTTCATTAAGCTATATTAATGCTCCTTCAATATTGTTCTTTAGATTTTTTTGGATTTTCGTATTACAGTTTTAACTAACAAAATTTGCAGTTGTAAAATTAACTTTCATTCGATGGGACTTGGATAGAGTTTCTTATGTTGTCGATTCTTTTCAGGTAAAACAATCTAGTGTAAATAGCTACATATTTTTGTTTATTTATTTAATTGGCATCAAATGTGGTACATCTGGAGAAAAAGGCTTGTATGACTTACACAAAATAGAATTTATGTGTAGACTTGGATACTGCTCGAGCACCCGTACCGAAGGAGTTCAAAGTAACTTCGAATTTCGGTAGATTTGTTTGGGTAAAATGCAATGTGGATGCATGGATAATGGTTCTTAATAAGTACTAACATTGATGAGGATTCACCTCGACGTTTTCTCCCCAACCAAATTATTCAGTTCGTCTGATACAGTTTCACTTGTTTTTCTGTAGATGTTGGGAAAAGCAGCCTTCTCTTCCGGTACATCGATGACGGTTTCAGTGATACCTATATGAGTACAATTGGAGTAGACTTTAAAGTAAAAACAGTCATGATTGGCAATACAAGAGTAAAGCTACAAATTTGGGATACAGCTGGACAGGAGAGATTTCGTACTATAACATCAACGTATAATTTTATTTATAATTAATATTTTGATAAAAATTATCAGATATTATCGTGGTGCTCATGGAATTATCATTGTATATGATGTCAATGATGTGAAAACATTTTGTAATGTAGAAAAATGGGTAAAAGAGGCACAAACTTACGCTGATGAAGGAGTAGCACGAATACTAGGTGAGGAGTGCTTTTCTAGCCATTTACATCCTAGTCTAATTCATTTTCTAGTCGTTTCTTACAGTTTAGGGACAGTATTACAGCTTCTTCACTGGTAAACTGACGGATATAAATTATATACAGATTTGTTAGCTTTCTAATCTTTATTAAGCTATCATAAAGATGAAATGTTCGGGACAATAATAAATTAATAGCCATCTTTGCTACCTACCTTATGTTGTTTGTATTCGGCGACCATGTTTTACACCTCTGTCATAGAACAGGATGGATTTCTACGTTGTTAACTTAGTCACTGATGAGTAAACAGATGCTTCACTAGTGTTATTTGAACCTTGTTATCGACTCCAAGACTTAATCATAGATCAGTTGGTCAGGTCTTCTGTGATTATTAAAACTGTAAATGTCCATATCTTTTCAGTAAACTTTTATAACAGTCATGCTTCTAGAGATGACTCGTCGTCTGAAATTTCGGCGGTTGGTCTCATGGAATCGGAGGCTGTAAACGTTACAGTTCTTTTTGATGAAGAAGCTGACAACATTCAGAATCATTCGACTGAGTTGAATCAAAAACAGTTTTCGGATGGATTCCTTTTCTTCAGGATTAAAATTGTTGCTTAAGGACCAGTTTACATCAATGCCCGATCTGACCATAAGAGGGGAAGGAACTGACCACGTTGGCCACTGTACATATGTGTAACACATGTGTCATCCACCACCTAATACAGAGTGGGACAATGGCTAGTATTGGAGAAAGGACGGAGCTGGTCAAGTGTAAACAAATTATCAGTTCATTAGGCCATTGAATGTCCGACTAAGTTTTGTTGGGTGGTAGAAACTTAGTTATGATCCATGCTAAAACCGCATTTAGTATTTAAAGATTTCAGGTGATATAGGTCAAAATTAGTCATTGTGGTTTATATATCTCCACTTTTTACTCCTTTTAAAGTCGTAAGTTTCAGGACTATTTCGTTTCATGCCTCTCCATTGCGTTCGTTCTTGCAGAACTATATTCCCTGCGTAATTTTTTAAATATAATAAGCACTACTGGTTTAACTTCCTTAATTCTCACTCTGTTACCTTCCTCTCAATGCTCTAACGTGAAATATGGAAACTTCGATCCATACATATTCGCTATATGTCCTGCGTTGTTTATGACCAAAGGATTTCTGTTGTGGAATTATTTACTACAACCACCCTTGTGGGATACTCTAGCAACATTTGGTTTATTGAAGTCGATATAGCCACATCATATACAACATTTAGCCATAGGTAACGAGACTAATAGAAAATAAGACTATATCTAAGTAAAATATAAATTTATCAAGAATATTTTCAAATTTTGAAAACCATAAAACGTTTAATATTTTAAACCTAAAATTTCAAAAGATATTCATCTATACTTTGTTTTATTTTTACGTGAACTCATATAAAAAGTCTTCAACAACCTATTTCATATTGTCAGATTGATTGAGTTCCTCCACTGCAATATTCTAACCAACGTCATCGTTCATCTTCGCTTTGATTTTCTCCATTCATGTTATTTTTTCATTTCGTCACCAAATCTATTGACGCTTATGCCTTTTATCTGAATACTGAATTCATGGTTTACTTTCGCATTACGTAATCATTGTCACTTGTTGCATTAATATATCTTTATTATTAAGGAAATGTGATATACGTACAACTTGAAAATGATATCTCTAAATGGCAGAATATGTTCACTACAGTTTATTTTTATTTCTTTATACTTGATTGAACTTGTATGCAACAATTTTATGCAACTCGTTTCTCACATTAAAAATCTATAAATAACTGTACAATGCGTTCTTTTGTAATTATTCCCTTCGTTTTTTTTCAAAAAAACATTTTAATAGTCGGTAATAAAAACGAAAGTGAAGAATTAAAAACTGTAGCCACTTGTGATGCTCAACGTTTAGCAGCTAAAAATTCATGTCTTTTTATTGAAACATCTGCTAAAAATGATGAAAATGTTGATCAGGTAATGTTGCAATTTGTATTTCTTAAAATTTTATGAGATATAGTTGGTTTATATATTTCTCAAGTTTTTATTATTATTATTTTTAATACCATGGTTATTTTAAGATTTAAGAAGTTTATGTAATGTTCAGCTCTTTTAACTAAGCAGTACAGATTACGGAAATGTATTTTCGATATCATCATGGCGAATTACAAATATACTCTACTTTCTTCACAAATACCATCTTTATTTAAAAATATTTGGAAAATTTGTATAACTGTTGTTTATAATTTTGTACATTGCATAAAAATAAGTATTTCATCATAATGAAATCAATGAATTATTGTCTCAGTTTATATTGATTAATCATATGATACAATCTATACAGTGAATAAATTCAGTGGGTACATGTGCTTGGCAAAAACAGCAGTTGAATTGTCTAAAATTTGTATGGATTCCTAGTTTTTCTAGGAAAAAAAACGTATTTATGTTTGTATCAAGTTATTTTTACACATTTGAGGTTTGCTTTTGTTTTCCATTCTCAAAAAAGAAGTAGAAATAATCACAAGGTGATGAATTAATGATGGTTTTTGTCGTGAAATCTATCCTCTGAATAACTTCCCACACGTAATGACATCAGAATAAATTCATACCAAAACTACTTGAAATTGTTAGGTGAAGTCTGTTTTTAAGTGACAAAACCGTTCAAGTTGAAAAGGTATGCCAAACAGTCTAAAGGTCAAAACATACACGTTTGTATTTTAATTCCATGACACGACGGCATCGTGTTTGTCAAATTAATAGAGAGATATATTGTTGTAGTAGGTTGAACATAATCGATAACAGTATCTTTGTAGATGCATATATCGATTTTACTTGATTATATTCTTCAGTATTTTTTGTACATTCCAAAATGAGATTGAGGCATGTGTTTTAATTCCACTCCACCGATAATCGGAGTGTTGGTGGAATAGATTGCACAAGTCAGCTGTTAATTGACAAGTTACATTGTTTATTATCATTACTTCTGTTCAATACTACTTTTTTGGTGCTATTGATTAGTGTAACAACTTTGACTGGTTCCGAATTTTGAATTATGTAGATAGGGACGCAAACATACTGATCGCTATTATTTATACTTTGTTGTGTAATGCTATTTCTTCGAAGATGTCACAGCAGATCATTTTGCTGTCCATTGAGAAGTTTACCATTCAGTGTCATTTAAAGCATGTGCGATAAGTAGAAATAGTAATGATATTGAATGTAATATAAGAACTTGTAATTCCCAGCTCTGTCAAATACGTACTGTATTAGTCACAAATGAAGCAGGATATGAAAGGAACAAAAAGTCTATGCACACTTGAATGCATCGTATTCAAATCCGAATCAAGCGCAAAAATTGAACGAAAAATTACCACAATATGCAGATATCACAGTACGATCGATAGTTTCTGGAACTTTCCTTACAAAATTTTACCAAATTAAAATCTGTTATGTCCTACAACCGACCGATATAGATAGATGACCTTGAGCAACCAATACTTAGCAACGACGAGGGAGGCATACTCTATGCTTGACCGTTGGATGAATACTAGCTGGCCCCGAACGAAGGAAAAAACACGAAACCAATAATCACCAGTTCAAGATCGTTATTATATTTTAGACATTCATTTCTATGCATACAAGACTAGACCACGCAGCAGATCAATTGAGTAACAGTATTAACTCAGAGCAACAACATTAATGATGAGAAAAACGGAGTACTGGGTACAAAAATAATCAGTTCTAGTTTATGAGTGAAAAATGCTATAACAATTTACGGTTCAAATAACAGCTTGGAACTAGAGGGTATCCATTCATAATTTCGACCATCAAAAAGGCATGGATTACTAAGGACGACTATCAAAAGATCGTATATTAATAAAGGTAGTCAGTGTAAAAGCAAATAATATTTTTAACTGTGTGAAATATGTTCGATTTACTCTCTATCTCTTTGCCTTACGACCATTTAAAAACGTATTTTCCTGAACGTATGACAAAAAGTCTACTTTCAACAAGCATTGATAAATACTATAATTTCCCGAATTAGGTAACAAATTGTTATTACCCTAGTTGTGTCATGCCGTACATCTATTTCGAACAGCTATTGAAGGGAATGATTCTTGTGCTGGGTTCCCTACAAACCCGTAGTTTGTTAGACAGTTTCAGGTGACTGAAAATGTAAAAGTCATAGACTTAATTACGACTAGATATTTGTTATAAAAATGCACTAATATATGGTATAAATGTATAACTATTTGTCTTGAATAAAATAATTGATTTGCTTTCAAAATGAGACAATTGTATGTAAGGTACAACACAAAAAACATCACTTTTAATAAGTTATATCTCAACGAACATATTTCGCACAGTTGAAATTGTTATTCCATTTTTCGCTGATCACCTTTATTGATCTTCACCCTTTCGACGGGCCCTTATTATCTGCGGTCTTTCGCTTGCGCCCTTACTAGTGTAAACCTCATGGTTAAATCGTTTCTTACAAATAAGTCGTTTTAAAAGAAGTGTTCTTAATTTTTCACGTTGTTATTGTTCATTAAATACTCATTTATCTGTTAACTTTTCGAATTCATTTCATTTGTGGTTAAAAAGTGTGTTTACGTGAATACTATCATGACTTGACATCGAGTGGAGAATAAACAAATAGTCAACATTAAACATCTGTTTCATTTTGGCTTAATACGCTTCAATGGTGTACGCTCCTAGCTTTCATGTTAAGCACAATACATTTAAGCCATTAAATTAATATTTAATGGTTTGAACGTTTTCCATGTCATTTTGTATACGTCAAACTTAGTTCCACCTATTTCGCTTTGGGAGCCGAATATTGTTATTAGCTCTCACATCAAAGCACCTAGTGAATTTAATTAAATTTCATTTTAATTAATAAATTATTAGTTCCGTGTGAAAAATTTACTTTTTTTCAACTTTGTCCCTGTTTTACAGATGTTTTACATTATTACAAGAGAAGCTTTACGTTTGCGATTAAATGCTGTACAAAAACAACAAGAAGCTCAACAGACCGTAGTTCAACTGACACCTATCTCCGGATTAAAATCAAAGCATAAACCGAAATGCTGTAAAGGATAACTTCTTTTTCTGTCTATCTATGTCTTTCTTTTTAATCAAATAATTTGTTTATTGTTATTCACTTATCTATTATCATGATCCGGTTGTATTGCGACAGAAAATACCGCTGTTACAACAATACCTGCCGGTACTACTCACACTACTACTATCTCAGTTTATTCATTATAATTTTTTGTATAAAAAAAATAAAACTGAATGAACATGTAGGTGAGTGAGTGTGAACGGTAAGTGCTGTCGAAAGAATGATATCTACTGTTCTATTTTTTCTGTCTCTTTCACTATTTTTTCTCCATTACAAAGTTGTTGTCCTCGATTAGTGTGAATCTCAGACTATTGGATGCGTCGATTCCTGCTGATGGCAGGAAAACTCAAGCACAACAATACTTTTCTTTGGTTATTTCGTGTTTTTTTTAACAAATTTATTTTGTAATTTTTTTCCTTTTAATTCAATGATTTTTATATGATTATTAAAATTAACAATTTATTGCTCAATAATTCAAATTCATTCGTTACATAAAAGTATATTTATATGAGTATCACAGTATATGTCCATTGTTAGAGATAATTACGGAATAATTAGTCGACGATTATTTAACAAATGGTTATTTTATTAATAATTTTAGTGCATTTTTATTCTGTTGTTAATCTGTTATGATGATAATAGTGTTGGTTAGTGAGGATGATATTTATTTAAGGAGAACAAAGCAAATCAACTAATCTTTATTTCATGTATAGACTATTCCGTATTATTATTATTATTATTATTATTATTATTATTATTATTATTATTACTATTGGTATGCATGCTATGATTTAGTATATATTTCCTTCTTTTCTATGGAATTTAATTGAACCGATGATTTTGCTTTGTTAGTTAATAATCTATTCTGCTGATGCCTTTCTCTGTTTTTTTTAAAAAAAAATATCTATTTATGAAAAAAGACCATTAATTTACATAATGAAAATGATTTATTATTTGTTATATAATTTCAATATATTACGATATTCATTTGTATTTACTTTTCTTGATTAAAACGAACGGACAAGCATTGAAAAAGTATCAGTTATACTCTTTATATGTATACTAATGTATTTGTGTAAAGTTTATGGATCAAAGTTAATAGTATTTTCTGAATGTTATACATCGGATGTATAATTAAGTAAGGAAATTGTTCCTTCACAAATTGAAGAAAATAATGAGTTTATAGTTTGTATATTATGATCAGGATATCAGTTTTGCGTAATTTTAACTTCATTTTTGTAACACTTGATCATCAGGATTATAATGAATTGTCACTACTGGTGTTTATAGATGATTGTGATAAATAATTTAAGCACTTTTCGCAGTTGAATCAGTTTCATAACTGATAAAATTGACTCATATTTAATTCCAACCATACTGTTAGCGGGACATAGACTGGATTAAAGCATGCTCAATGCACGATTGCTTTGGCGCACGCTGATTGGCTGATTCTTATCCAATCAGTACTAGTCGATAGTTGGAGAATACTCTAGAATCTTCTCATGTAAAAACTATAAGTATACTAACGTTTTCTCTATTGTGCATCTTACTTCTATATAACCTTGTTATTTGGAATATAATCTCTTTCCTGTTCAACCGTGTTCTGATTTGGGGACTTGTCGAGTGAATCGGTGTCCGAGAATACTAAGCAATAGGAATAGCTAGGTCATAACCGTAAGAAAGAGATTATAACACATACTATCAGCTAATATGAATTCGTAATCTATAAAGAATTAGGCAAATAGACGCAAGAACTCGGAAGATAGAATAAATGGTTCATTGTCATTCTGGACGGTATCAAAGCAGGTAAAGTGGTAAAACCATAAAGTTATCAGGAACCTAGTGATCTAGCTTCATAAATATTGTAAAAGTAATTTAATATCATTATAAAGTTGTACCGGTCTTCAACTCTCTATTTTTATCATTCTAAGTATACTATTTAATATGACTGATTCCGGCGAGTGTTAATGAGTTCCTACGAAGATCACACTGATTTGAGCATAAAAGTTTGAATGCTCCAACTGAAATGTATTTCATACTGCTATAAGTGCGGAGTTCTTTCTGTGACCTATACTTCAATAAAGAAACCGATTTTAAATAAGGATTTGCGTGAAGAATCAATGATCAAGTTTTCGCCCGAAAAACCGTGATTGACCTGTTCTTTTCATAGTGAATTAAGTTGTTAGATGTTCTGTAAATTAAGATAGTCAGGCTGTTGCTCTAACGCTTCCATTCTTACAGGATTATCATTGATGTAAGATAAACAAGCGTAATATTCTAGCTAAATGAAAGTGTTGGTTCCAGTTCCTTTGGCTAATATACCGAATATTGAACCAGTGAAATAACTATGTCTTTTAAGAGTCATTTCACGGAACAGGTTACTTCATATTTCTGCAGATGACTATTATATTGGTTGATGGTTTTTTTTTGTTGTTCATCTCACTAGCATTATTGCATTCATTTGATTTGCAGTAAAAAACTGTACATTGATTAAGTAACATATTCATTTTCAAAGATTACAGTGATTCATCTAAACAAAGATATAAATAATTTACAGCCAAGGTCAAATGACCATTCATTTTAACAGACTTCCACCAATAATAATCAATAATTGATTAAAATGCACATAAATATCATGCATAAATCGTTTCTAATATTGGTGCATTAATTGTTTAATATAAGCTGTCAGTTTATTATATTGTCAATTGATTGATTCATTTAATTTGGACAGAAATTTATGTACTGTTCGAATTATATGATGTTTATCAAATAAATAAGCGAGTCTAATCGATTTTTTTTCTCCAAAAAAAGGAAAGAAATCATTTATTCCACTTATTAATTCTATTTGAATTGTTTTTGTTAATAAATTCAAAAATGCTTAATTAATGTGCCATGTCCATAGGTAACTATCGTTTTCCAGTATAATTTATCAAATAAAATATTTTGAAACAGTTACTGATGTATTATTAATTTCTTATTGTTTTAAAAGGTAGATTATAGATTTTAAATATTAGCAACTTACATAAATTCTCAGAAAATGTTCAAAAATGAAGAGTATTTAAGTGAACAATTGTTTTCAACAACTTCATCATCAGGCTCTACAGTTATAAGTCCATAATTATAATATTTTACAAAGGCCAAAAATAAGGCATGTATTAATGAATTTGACAATGTTATATGTTAAAAATGGTTCACGCTTGCATCTGTTACGATATAAATATATACTTCAAAATTGTTCGCTCAAATATTCTTCATTTTTGAATATTCTATGGGGATTTTTAAACTGCTGAAAATAAAATATATTAAATATCTGTAAACAGTTAATGTAGGAAGGATAACTGCATAGAGTTATATTGACTTTTATTACATTGTACATATAATAAATGCAAATTTTAATAATAATTACTATACACATGTATAGTCCTTTCATGCAAAAAAATATGTTGGGTGAAGTGTGAATATATGCTATTTCGGTCGGTAATTGTATTATGATGAATCACTTCATTGTTTATATGAATGTCAGTGTGAAATATTTTAGATTATAAAATCAGTGCTAATCACCCTGGACTGTTTAGCAGTTTGTTGTTTATTATAAAAAAGACTGTACTACCGCTCTGCATCTGTCATTCGAATTGTTTTATACATGAATAGACTGATTCATGTGATTTTACAGTTCTTGGTACTGATTTCTGTTAAATGGTTCCAGATATTCACATATTTATACATAAGAGGGTGATTAAGGATGAATACATGTGTATCATGGTGTAGCGAAGATTTCGATAGAGTTAATGAGGTCATAAAATTTTTGTCTCGAATAAATAGAGTTTGAGAGGGAAAGAAAATATGAATTGAAATCAGTCAGTTATGTATGATGTAATTTAAAAGGGTTGGAGTAATGTTCTTTGACTCAATCAAAGGTCGACAGGTATCCCTTTCATGTTACCACCAACTGTGTATACAAATTTACATGTATCTGCCAAAGCAGTTACATTGGTAGAACAGAAAGGAGAGCCTACGTCCAGTTAAAAGAACATATTCCGAAAAGTTTAAGATTAAATGGATTAAAAACATCCAGCAGTGCCATCGCAAGACATCTCCTTGACACAGGACATGAGGTTGATATACTGAAGTCCTACAAGGTGATTAACAAACAATCAAACTCCAACCTTTTGAAATTCGCCGAAGCAATAGCAATCAAACGTTTAAAATCAGATCTATGTATACAAAAAGAGATAGTAATAAATCTTTCTTTAATCTGGTAACAATAACCCCTTTTTTATTCCTTTATTTCTCTATTCATTTATTTGTGTCATTACTCCGACTCTTTTAAATTACATCATACATAATTGACTGATTTTAATTCATATTTTCTTTATTACCATTAATCTATTATCATGAGTTCTAATCACTATTTCAGTGTTCTGGAACTTTCCCTCTCAAACTTTATTTATTTATTCGAATCAAACATTTTATGACCTCATTAACTCTATGTGAATCTTCGCTACATCATGATACACATGTATTCATCCTTAATCACACTCTTATGTATAAATATGTCAATATCTGTGATAATATTGAATTTCAAATAATTTAGGTTGTAAGCAGCTGATGAGAACCTAACGAAATAAAATGAATTCATATTATTCTGCACCAATCTTTGTTCTTGCTCTATTTAAGATAATAAAGGGAACTATGTGTATAAATGGTTCCAAGCGGCATTACAGTATTTTCTAAAATAAAAATACTGAACAAACTATACAGATCTAAATGGTATTAAGTTAGTAACAAAATACACTGACAGTAATTAGGCTAGACGTACCACAAAAGTCCTAAGCAAATTTCATTAATGATTCGGTGGATTTTTTTAACATTAAAGTCTGATGTAGACAGTATATTTGTTAGCTGGATAGGGTCCTAACTATTCATGCTAAGATCGAACCCAAGTCGGGATACACTGATTGGTCCATTTCCAACTGTTCGGTGCTAACGGATTGTCATAAAGTATTATTTCTTACTTGATGTGTTGTATGGTCAGATATTTGAAGTATATTACTGTATACGTTCTGAGTCATAATTGAATTGTGTACAGTAGAGAATTAATCTGTCTCCTATTTGACTACTGAATCAGGAGGGACTCGAGGACCAGTAGGCGTTAAGACGTTCATTTTATCAATTCGTGAAATAGGTCACCGATCCTACTGGTCTATAGGCGGGTTAATCAAACCTCTAGTCAGAACAAATTAGCAATCCCAGAAAAACAGATGGAATAAAAAAATACTCGGAAATTCTTCTATAAATTGTATACAGTCGCTTTTGTTATCACTACTGTATCCCTCGTTCGGACCTGTTGGATTGTATATCGTTCTCTCTCAATTTTTTGTACGGGACAAGTTGAGTGAGTTACATTGTTCAAGGAATGCCTGGCAGTGGCTAAAGTAACACTTGCTGCTCAAGAACCCTTCTCATTGTGTTGTCTTTATTGTGATTTCTGGTGCCTTATCCAAATTCACTAGATATTTATTAAACTGATTTTGGTTTCCGGTATATTGTAGCGACATTGTCGTAGGTGATTACAATAAAAAAAACTGACCAGAAAATCAATGTGGATTTGTCCTATGGCAGAATAAATTGATCAAAAATGTGGTTTTTTATGCCACGTAGCATGAATTAGAATCTGGGGTCAAAAACCTAACTCGTCTGATGGCCTAAAATATTGATTTCGAGGTTAACCAGTTCTTGTCAGATAGAAATTTCATACATAGAACAACTAATGCAAGAAATAATATGCTGACCCAAATAGTTGATGATACTATCACTAAGCTCAGTGATATATAGAACGTATGGGAGGATTTCATGTGATACGAAATGGTAATTGGAAATCAAGTGATGAGAAGAGAATATAAATGATCATAATGTGGCTTTTAAATAATCATGTTTGTGTAGATCATGAAAGTTATTATAAAACAATATTAATAAATTTATAAATGTATTGTACGAAGTGAAATTCGTTGAAACAAGCTCTCACAATCAATAATCAATGGATTGAGATTCCTCAAATTACATGATAATCATTCAGAATGTTTAAACTCTATAGCAAATAAATAAACCCGCTTTATTTTTCCAGTGACTTCTTTTATTTTAGAAAAGACAAGAAACCTGTTCTCCGTCTACAATTTGTTATTCCATATATAATTTTTAATGACAAGTTTAGTTATCGTTAGATTTCAAATAATCGTGTTAAGAAGAAAATGGTTGAGTTGCCTGATATGAAACGAAGTCATACAATTTCTGAGTTCAAACAGAATTTTTTGTTACACATCATTTTAGCCAGCGACTAATTTTCTGCTTAGATAGAACATATTTAATTTACCGACGAATTAATAAATCAAAACGATGTTAATTTGCGCCATACATGTGATTCTATCCGTTTAAAGTATGGTAACCTCTTCATTTATTTTCGAATCTTTACTTACGGATCAAGTTATTAACTTAATTTATCCACTTTTTTGAATAAACTACTCCAAGTGATTTATTTCACCTTATT